TTATTTGACACTTCATTGGGACAGAAAACTTTTAAGACAAATCTCAGGGCAAAAGTTTGAGTATTTAACTGTTTTGGTCTTTCCTAATTGTGTTGAAGGAAAAATATTATCAATAAAACCTAGTCAGTCTGGAACAGGACTTGCTATTTGCAAAGGAATTTTGGAAGACTTAAAAGCCAACATTGTCACCCAGGTTTTTGATACCACTGCATGTAATACAGGAGTTAGGAATGGAGCTGCAACTCTTTTAGAGGATTGTAAATCAATGAAAACTCTTCTTTGGCTGGCTTGCCACCATCACATTTTAGAATTGATCTTGGGAGCATTTTGGAGCTCCTTATTTAAAAAAGAAAAAAAAGCTTATTATAATATAGATTTCAAAGACTTTCAACAAGAATGGATTTGTGCAGAGAAGGTTCCATTAAAAAAACTAAACAGGTTTCTAGATCTAGAAAATTCTTTTCTTAAAACGAAAGCAGACGAAACTCGTGTGTTCTTAGAGAAACAAGTAAAATGTAAGCATCGCCGAGGTGATTACAAGGAAGATAGCACTTTATCTTTTAGGCGGACCAGAACCTAAAGTATGGAATGTGGATCAAATCATCATGTTAAAGGTAATATTTTTGGAAGAATTCAAAGAATTTTTCAAAAATTTTGCTTTGGAGTTGGAGTCGGAGTTGTGCTCAAAAAATTTCAACAACTGAAGTCAGAATCGGAGTTGTACTCAAAAAAATGTCAACAACTGAAGTCAGAATCGGAGTTGTACTCAAAAAAATGTCAACAACTGAAGTCAGAATCGGAGTTGTACTCAAAAAAATGTCAACAACTGAAGTCAGAATCGGAGTTGTACTCAAAAAAATGTCAACAACTGAAGTCAGAATCGGAGTTGTACTCAAAAAAATGTCAACAACTGAAGTCAGAATCGGAGTTGTACTCAAAAAAATGTCAACAACTGAAGTCAGAATCGGAGTTGTACTCAAAAAAATGTCAACAACTGAAGTCAGAATCGGAGTTGTACTCAAAAAAATGTCAACAACTGAAGTCAGAATCGGAGTTGTACTCAAAAAAATGTCAACAACTGAAGTCAGAATCGGAGTTGTACTCAAAAAAATGTCAACAACTGGAGTCGAAGTTGTTACTTTGTTTTTACTACTCCACAGGTTTATTAGTAAAAAAAATGTAAAACAGAGCGTTTTAAAATTTTCAAAAGAATTATAATTAAATTTAATAAAAAAAACTACTAAAAATATGATTAACAATAAATTAAATTTAAATGTAATAAAAATGAATATAAATAATAAACTTTTTAAAAACGGAAAGTGGAAAATTAAACTTTAAACTATTTTTTTTCTTTTTTGTCTAACAAGAACAATATTTCACAAATGTTTTTTACAACAATTAATTACAGCTTAATGTTTTCCGCATAAACTGTTTTAAAAGACTGTCTAAAATAAACTAATTGAAAAAAGTTTTTGTGTAACATAAATTGCAAAACGCGAACATGAAATTGTGAATACATACGTAAAATTCAAATAGGGAAATGCTTCTTAACAAGGCCTGAGACCCATTTATAATACATTGTTTACAGATTCAGGATGTTGAATGCTGGATCTACTTGATTCAATGCATGGGTTTTGCTTGCGTCTCATTTTTATGACTAAGCAACTCATTATTATCTCCTAATGAGGATACAGCTCTAAAACTCAATTTTATGGTTCTGAGACCAGCTGGTAATCAAGTTTCCCAAACTCTGTAGTAGCTCTCAGAGAGGCTGATTCCATCAACAGCTGTAAAATGTCAGAGTACTAACAGTGCTATGTTGTGCATGAATGGTATCCCTGATCATTCTTTTAGTGTGCATTGTTGAAACCACAATTGGAGCCCTTTGTTACGGCTTAGGGTTTAATAACAGTAATTAGGAAATTGCTTGGACTATTTAATAGTGTACTGAGTACTATTTGTGCTTTGAGCCAAATTCTTTAACAAATTTAAAAATGAATACAGTACCAAAAACTATATAACACAAAAAACCATTGTCATCACCAAGTTTTCTAAGTCTATCATTCACTAATATTCGTGGTCTTCGAAGCAACTTTTCTTCCGTTAAGTCTTATATTCCAAAACCCTCAACTTTTACTTTTCTCAATCTCTAACTCAAATAGTCAACTTTTTAACTTTCCAGACAACCCAAATCATTTACCTTTTCTACTCGACCTATGTCTTGTGTCTGATCCTAGTCAGTGCTCAGTTTTTTCCCCATTTACCCTTAGTTACTTCTGATCACGATTTGATCTCATTAAAACTATCATCTCATTCTTCTCCATCATCAGAACCCCTTTATCATTATACCTTTTACAACCACTTTAAAGCTGACTGGAACTCTTTCTGTGATTTTCTTCTTGATGGCCCTTGGGTAGAAACCTTTTATCTTTCTGCTGAAAAATGTGCTTCTTACATAACTTCTTGAATTCAGGTTGGCATGGAACCTTTTATTCCCTCCTTGGATGATTCCAAGTCAAGCTTCACTCTTCTCTATGGATTTCCTCGCATTGTGCTGCTGCAATTTCCAATCATAACCATTACTTCCATATCTATCATCAAACAATTCTCCAGAAAACAGACATCAGTTTACCTTTGTTAGAGTCATTGCAAAAAAGCTACTTTATCTCTAAAACTAGCTCTCGTGACTTCTGGAGAATCTTTAACAGTATCTATAATAAGGGCAAATCTGTTGTTCCACCTTGTGATCTAACTCATTTAACTACCATTCGATTAGTTCGTAAAAGATCAGGGTTGATATTTAACCGGGGCTGGGTTTGATAAAATATATTCAGGGCTGGGGCCAGGTTTGTGACCAGGGCTCTATAAATAATTATACATCTTTAGTTCAAAATTCATGTTATATGATGTTGATGATCATCATCATGATCATGATCATCATCATCATCATCATCGTCATCATCAACGCCATCATCATCATAGCTTTCCTTTTTTATGTTGTTTCTCTAATATAATCTAGAGCATTTTTTTTCTTTGACTAAACCTCATTCATACAATATATAAGGCACTCTCTTCAAGTTATCTTACTAAACTATTTCTTTCTAACCGTAGAATTAAAGTTATTCTTGAAGGCCTACACTCGACTTTTCAAAGTAACTTTAAGGATACCACAGAGTTCTATCTTTGCACCTGTAATGTTTCTTATCTACAATAATAATCTTTATGAAATTTTTACATCTAAAGTACCTCTATTAGCTAAGGACTCAACTTTATACTCTAGTTTTGACAAATATCTTAACTTTTTGATTGCTTAGAAAATGCACCGGTTTTTAATCTGATCTCTCTTCTGTAACAGTCTAAGGCTTGCAGTGGCTTGTGGATTTAAATTTTTTAAAGAAACAAAACTCATTTATTTACTGCAAAAAAATATTGTAATATTATTGGCATTCTTATATTGACAAATAACAACCTTCTTACTCTCAGACAAAGTCTAAAAGCTTATTGTAAATGTAGTTAGACCTGTTTTACCTGCCAAGCTTGAACCACTCTCCCATTGTTGCAAGCTTGCATTTATTTCTTTTTTCTAAAAATACAATAATGATCAATGCTCAAGTGAGCATTTGTTGCTATCATCACTATTACAATATATCAAAACTCATTTATACAAATTTTTCTACAAATACAATAATGGTCTATAGTCAAACGAGCTTTCATCTCTATAACGATAAACAAAAACACATTCTTGCTTGGCTTCTTATTCAACAAGTTGCATCCTTTTACTGTATCTGTCTCTTCATGCTATAAAAACTTTTATTAATTCATTTTTTTGTCCTTACTCATCAAAAAAGCCTCTCTTCCCCATCTTTTTTTTTTTAACTCATAACTTAATGTTGTAATCTTGTTGAAAGTAAATTAGAGTTTAAAAATATATAAATATATGCCAGTATTTAATAAATAGTAAATGTAAATATAAAATTATAATACAAAAAGTATTGTAAACTTTTTTCTAGCTCCAGTCGCTTACTGCCAATAGTATTCTTCCTATCATAAGCAAGATTTTTGAGTCTTTAATTAACAAACACTATACCTTTTATCTTGAGTCTTATAACTTACTTTCTGATTTTTGATATGGATTTTTTTCTAACAGTAATAAATGACAGATGTGGAAAGGTTAAGGATATTGCTCTTTACATTTCTAAAGTTTTTGATAAAGTTTGGCATGCTGGTCTTCTCCATAAGCTTTCTTCTTACTGTGTATCTGGTAACATCTTTAGGATTATTGTGTCCTTCTTTTCCAATGTAGTATAAAAGTTGTCCTCAATGGACAGCACTCTTCTTCATATCCTGTAACTTCAGGGGTTCCTCAAGGTTCAATCCTTGACCCAATATTCTTTTTAATTTACATCAACAATTTTCCAGATATTCTCACATCTAAGGTGGCATTGTTTGCTCATGATACTACCATTTAATCTTGTCTTGATAAGAAGCCAACACTCTCTGATTGCTTGGAGAGGGCATTTGAGCATGAAAAGGATTTCACTTCTGTTACAGCATGGGGCTCACAGTGGCTGGTGAACCTTAACTCAGAGAAAACTCAATTTTTTTTCATTTCCTCTAATTTCTCAAAAATATAACAGCTGATTGATTTTTAATATTAAGATTTACAATTTTATTGTAGCTGTTGATTATCAGTTATATCAGTTGATTGATTTTTAATATCAAGTTAATTGTAGCTGGGTACAATATTACTGGAAAGTTGCAATCATAAACAATTAAATGTTTAGAATGAAAATAACTTAGCATAGTATTAAAAAAAGTAAACTTATTATAATTATTAAAACTAAAAATTTTAAAAATTTGATTCAATAACCAATAAAAAGCAAAAATAGTAAACATAATTATTGAGTTTTTAGTGTTAAAATTAAAAAACTTTTAACATTCTGTTACTGTGGTACAGCCTGATTATTTAAAAAAAGTGAAATTTAAAAAAAAAATCTTACTTGTGGTGGTAAACTGCTTTAAATCTAGCTTTTGAAGACAATGTGTTAAAAGATCTTTTATTTTCATGTTTTTGCTGACAAGATAATTCTAATTAAAAAAAGAATATTACAAAATTTTAAATCTGCAATAAACATAAACTGTTAACACTGTAAAATACTAAGATTCAAACTAACTCGGTCTTTTTTAACTTGAAATAATTAACAGATCTTCAACGCAGTTGTCAACAGTAATTTACTAATCTAGAGACTTTATTTTTTTGGTTATAAAACCACATTAGGTTATAAATGTTTGTTTTATATGAACTGTTTTATATGAATTATATCAAAGCATTTAAAAATAATATAATGATATAAATAATACTCAAGTTTATTACCAAATTTATTAGCAGAAAATTTTATATTAGAAAAATATTTCTTAGCATGTAAAAACGCACGGGTTGCTGAAAATGTCACTACTGGAATAACATGGAAAAAATTTACTCTGGAATAACATGTGAGTACTTGAATCGTAAATTTTTGTATTGGAATAATAACTTTTATATTTTTTATGTTTTAAATCCTTGTTTTATATGAACTATATCATCTTGCAAAATTTACAAATGAAATTTTGAAATTCATTACTTATTTTAGGTTATCTAATTCAACAGATTAAAAAAGATAAATATATTTTACTGTTTTAAAATCATTTGATATTTAATATTAGATTGAATAGTAAATATTTTTATTACAATAAAAATGTTAACCATAGAGAGGACTCAAATCAATCTTTTATTATTCAATTAGTGAACTGGTGGTTTGGAATAATGTCTTGTGAATCAAAATATCCGTCTCTATACATCTACTGTGAATCTCCAGAGAGTGAAGAAAGTGAAGCTTGACAGACAGATGCAACACTAAGAACATTTGAGAATAATCAAAAGCAGAATAAGGATTGTCTAACCCCAAGAGGAAAAAAGTCTTACCCCAGGAGGTAAAAAAATCAAAGCAAAAGATTATACTAATTGTGTGACAACTTCTTTGCTATTTTATGAAAATAATCTTGATAATAGCTAGGTGATCTTTAAGAGTCCACCGCCAGCTCTTTATCTCAAGTCGTCCATAAACCTTTGGCATAAACAAAACATTTTGCCGCGATTTCAAGATTGGTTAGCAAAACATTCTCTTCTAACCATACCATGGTGACACACTTGATGGTAATAAATGTTCTAAGGCCCCTTGATTAGAGAAAATACTTCCTAAAGACCTGGTTTTCTAGATTACTTGCGGTATTTTTCAAAGGTCATTGACTTTACATTTGGTGTGTACGTACATCCTGAGTATAAGAATGTTTTAAAAAATCTGAGCAGGTCTTTTAAGTCTTTTACAGGAGCAGGTCTTTTTAAGTAATACTCACAAATATCGAGCAATTCATCAACATAACAGGAAGAGAACTTAGTCCTTAGTCAGTTTTCAGAACATGTATTTTCAACCATTAAATCTATTGAAGTTGTATTTAACTGAAAACTATATTTTGCATTACTTTAAAAAAAGATTTTATAACTTATCTTACTTTTGCTGGTTTTAAAATTTCTTAAAACTTTTTCAATTTTTCATTTTAATTAATAAAACTTTTTCAATTTTTCATTTTAATAATTTTTGTAAAAAAACTTAAAACTTTTTCAATTTTTCATTTTAATAATTTTTGTAACTATTATATACATATGTAAAAAAATATATATATTTTTTTTGGTGTTTTCAAAGAGGTTTAGTTTAATCTAAGCAAAGGGTGATTTACATGCTATATATTACACTACAGTCTATAAATACTTTTTTTGTCCTGGGTCATTGATTTATTTATTTGAGTGAGAAATAAATAAAAGCATAATTCCAAAAAAAACAATTTGGAGCAACGGTAATTTTGGAAAACAACTTTGAAGTTTCCAACTACTTGTGTTTTTTCTCAAATATTTAGAAAAACTGAATATTTTACAAAAAACTTATTTGTAAACTGATTCTCAAGTTTCAATTGTTCACATAAATTTACTTGTTCACAAGCTCTTTGATATTGGCAGATTTTAAAAGTATATGTATTTTTCAACATACACAAGTATTTAAGTATATAACATCGCAATTTCTGTGATTTTTGGTTAAAAAAATTATTTTCTTGCAAACAAATTTTTTATCTTTAGATTTTAACATTCTTAACAACTACACAAGTACTTTTTTAATAGTGAAAAAGACACCTGGATATTTTTCATACATTTGATGAAGCGTGTCCTACCCTGAGAGACTTTGAACTCATTTATCATTGTCTTTAAAGTCATAGAGAAAAGTTAATCAAATATTTGTAAAAAAAAGTTAGCAAAACTACTCTGAGAAAAGTATTTAACGTTTTGACTTTGACGTTGCATTGATCTTGTTTTCAGTATTGAGCCAGAATGAGTAGTGAGGAGAATTTTTGAGGTTTACAGCTACCAACGTAGACACTATATATTACCACTATCAGCAACACCAGCTTTAAAGTTTAACAGCATAAATGCATTAAAGGGCATAACTGCCTAAGCTTTGATTATGTGCTGGAAATCTAGATCAATTTTCCTGGATAGCCTAATCTTCAAAAATTTGTTGGAAGCAACAACTTTCTCATTATTTAGCAGCATAATATACAAAACATTATTTCTTGACAGTAATACCCTGAAATACCTTACCACACCAGACTAGACCAGATTTCTTTTTTAGCAATAGAAATGGAAAATTATTTAACTAATAAATTTTATGCTGGTCTTTACTTAATTTTATGCTGGACTGTACTCAGATTACAGACGATGTTAAGAATTACATATACCTGAATCTGAATCTTTAGAAACAATATGAATGAATGTTATTTGTGAATGAATGAATGGTTATTTATGGATAAAAATGCCAAATACTTGTCCACCAATTTCAAATATAACATAGCAAAGCAGTAGCTCACCCTGGTAAAGTGAACAACTCACTATATGAATGTTAAATTTTAAATAGTGATTTACCGATGGTGAACACTGATTGTGGCTAATAATAGGTTTAATGTATTTATTTAAGGGTATTATAATAATATTAAGGATTTAAATTACATATTTAACATGGAACATGTTAAATATGTAATTATTTAGATAATCCAGGAAAATTGATCTAGATTTCCAGCACATAAGCTTATTCATCAGAAGTGATTCAACCTATTGGTCTATGCTATTGGTAATCAGCAATCAATTAATTGGCTTAACTATTGGCCAATTAATCGGCCGATGGCATCAGTTGATTAAATAGCATTGGCCAATGCATTGGCATTGGCTAATGCTGATTAATCAGAATTAGCCAATGTTAAGCCTAACCAAACTGGTGTTTAGGCACACTTTATATATGCAACTTGCATACCTAATATTAAGATATTACCTTTATATATATACATTAAACCCTAACATTAACTCCAATCAGCTTTTGCCGATGGCACATCACTAATTTTAAAAGCTTTTTAAATTTGACAACTAAATCAATATCTACAACAGTGTTAAAACTTGTATTTTCAGGAATAATCAGTTCAATACTATCGTATACAGTATTCATATTAAATGTTGATAAATCCATAGTGCTTCCTGCATTATTTTCTATTATAACATAAGTCAGATAATTCCCCTATTTATTTAACATTTTGTTTATATTGTTTAAGGTTTGCCCAAACAATTATTCGAAATTTAGAAAATTAATAGAAACTTCTAAATTAATATTTTTTTTAGACAAGACTTTTTTTATGCTCCCAGCAACAAATTTAACAATCCTGTCTGACTACATTTGAGTCTTTTTTAAAGCCAATTTGCACAAACATAAGTTAAAAACAATTTATTCTATAATGTTCTTTGTTTCTAATATGAAACAATTCATAAACTTAAACATCATTTTTTTATGCACAGCTTATTTGGTGTCAAAATAAACAAGATAAATAAATTATCTTACCTAATAAAGTTATTTGTTTTTTAAAACGGCTATTCTATACTATAAAATTTTTTTATAACACATTTTTTAGTCAACTTAAAAATCAAAGTCAACTAAAAAATCAAAATTTATTCTGTATCTAGCTTTAGGTTAAGAAAACTATTTAAAAAGTTTTAAAATGAAAAGCCAAATCAGAATTCAATATTCAGAGCCTCAGTCTTCGCTTATGTTATGGTACTTTTCTTAGAACACCGGTGGGAAATCTTTAATGTAGTGTTGTGAAAATACAAGAAAAAAGACTATAATAATAAACAAAAGGTTCTTGAGTTTAATAATTATAGAACTTGACTTGATCACAGTGCATGACACCCTTAGCAATAACCTATACAGGTGCTTTATATCAGCTAATCAACCTTAAGTCATAATAAAAAATCCATTATGCAGCCTCTGCAATGCACCATAAAGGCATTGACAGGGGCGCCTTCTGTGCACAATATGGCATGTGATACTCTGATATTTTACAGCTGTTGATAAAATCAACCTCTCTAAGGCCATACTCTTCCTGCTATTCCAGTTAACCCAAATTACATTTGACACACAAATTATGTTTCATTGGTAAAGTCATTACTTAATTAAACGCTTCTGCAGCTTGCAGACCAGACCATTCCTATCAACACTCTTCCATTCTCTCTAAACCATTTAATTTTTTTTTCTAAAAATACTACCATGGTTGCTGTTCAAAGGAGCTGTTATCTCTAGTTTCATCAACCAAAACTCATTCTTGCTTGACTCGTCATTCAGAAAAGTCACATCCTTTTACTGTATCTGTGCTTGTATGCTCTAAATACATTTATTCATTTAATTATTCCCTGAACTTCAATCCTTTAGAACTCTCTCCCATCTTCATGTTTTCCTGACTCATACAACCTACAACTTTTTAAGTTTTCTATGAACTGTTCCTTGCTCTTTGTCTCTATTGTCTGTTTTCTAGTAACTCCTAAATTAATAGTTGCATGCAGCCTTGATGGAATTGAATGAATAAAAAAAAATTATTATTTAGTCATCATATTCAGTACATATTTTAAATACATATAACTAAACAGAAAATCACTTAAGAATTTAAAATTAAAATCATTAAAAATACTGTGATATACAGTCAAATTTTTTATTACTAATTGAGTTTCAATTGTTTAAAAAATACATACAACATGGCTTAGGTGTTTAGCTTTTAATATAAATACTTAATGAAATACTTAATAAATTAATAGATTTTTATTGAGAATTGGTAAGAATTTAAAACATACAACTATTTCTTTTTATTGGTCTTTCTTTTACTTAACAAACACTTATTTATTTTATTTTTCTATTGCTTTTTTATTAAAAATAAGAAAAAAAAATTGTTTTCAAATGCAATAGTATATAACTGATGTTTTGTTTATTTTAGCTACCCCCTTTTTTTTTTCAGGACAATAAAATGAATGAAAAAGTAATTGTGTGACATAACTTGTTTAAAACACAATTCGTTACTAACCAAACGTTAGATTTAAAAATACTAATATTAATATGAAACTTAATTTAAAAAACCTGTGACAAAATTTCAAGACAATGAAATATCTTTGAATTTTGTAAAATGTAAAATTTTAAAATATCCATTCAGAGTTAAGTTAACTTTTGCTAGTTGGCAATTAATTAAAAAGAGTTTAATTTTTGAATGAATGATTTTTTGAATAAATGAACTTTTGATCTTTACCTTGCTATGTGGCAATTAAGAGTTTAATTTATGAAAACGAAACAAACGATAAACTTACTATAAACCTTACTTTATGAAAACAAAAAAAACGAAGCAAAAAGTTTTTCAGAAGATTTTATTTTTTTCCATATTCTTTTTGACTTAATAAAAATAAAATAACAATTAGAATAATTTAATAATTAAATAATATTAAAGTTTTCAAACTGCTCTCCCTCCCCCTTATTGCCAAAAAAACATGGTACCCCAAATAAACTCTGGGTTAGTCACTGAGTAGCACTACAGATCTTTAAAAAATTCCAGAAAAAAAATAAATATATTTATAAAAATCTTTTTATAAAAAAATTTGTTCATAATTTAGTAATGAATAATTCTAATTAGTATAACCATAAGCTTTGATCAAAGTTTCAATTTGAGGACAAAACTTGGTTTTTAAAATTTTTCTATTTGAGGAAAAAACTTGAATTTGCAGATATGTTCAGCTGACATGTTGGACCAAGCCTGGGTGATGGAAGTCTTCTGAGCTTCAACATTTAATTGTTGTTGCTTCGAGACTTGGTCTGAACATATATCTAAATAAAAAAACCCTGAGGGTTCAAATATGGAGAGCTAGACAGAAGGGCAATTCCATTTTTTCCATCAAATATTGTTATAGATGAGGGAAATTCTGTGAAAAAACTGAGAGTAATGATTTAATTTTTTTTTAATTAAAAAAAAAATTATATTGTGAATATTATGTATTATATTGTGAATTTTTTTGTATTTTATTGAACTATTTGTTGAATTTTAACATAACTCAAAATAATATGAACTTACATGTTTTTTACTACAAAAAGGATATATATTTTAACTCAGCTAAAATATAACCAAAATCAGGGTTACTTTGTAATTTTAATTAGTAAAAATTTTACTCAATAAAATTCGGTTTTTTATTTTTATTTTTTTTTATACTTAAGATTTTTAAGATTAAGAACTTGAAATTTTTTTTTTTTTTTTTTAATTTACTGCAGTTTTTATTTTACACAAAAGTATTTATTAAGTTACACAAAAATTAAGGAGGTATTAACTAACTGTCATTCATTTCGTAAACAATGTCGCTTAATTAGCCAACAAAAAAAAACATTTTCTTAAAACCATTTGCTAATAAGACTTTAATCCAGGTCATACCCATAAGAAATATTTTATTATCTTTCCTCAACAAACAAGGCGACAAGAATTTTATAGTTACCTTATTTTAGATTTTGCTTCAAAAAGTAGCAGAAAACAGTGTTTACAGACAGTGTGAACCAGGTTACACAACAGTGCAGTAAAATTTGAAAAAAAGTATTATAAACCATAACTACTAAATTATTATAATTACGTAAATTTATTTTTTTCGACACAGAAAAAAAAACAAGAAACACTAAAAAAAACAGGCAGCACAAGTTTAAATTTAATGAATAAAAACCAAATACAAGTTTGATTACTTGATTTAATAAAATTCATACTTTTAATATTTCAGATTCAAATGGATTTTTAGATATCAACTCTGATAAATGTTTTTCATCCAAGTCCATGTCTAAAAAAAAAAACAATATACAATTACAGTGACAGTTGTCATATTAGCACAAAGATGCCTTCCAAGATCATTATTGATCAGTATAAGTGTGTTATACTGATTAGGTCTATTTTTGATCTGGCAAATTTGTTTTATTTTAAAATTTAAAAAAAAAAAAATGCATTTCTTTAAAAAAATGTAGTCTAAATGAAAAAACAAATAAACAAAAGTTTAATATTGCTTGAATAAATAAAATATAAAATATGGTTGCAGACTGGCAGACTTCTTTGGCTTCAGACTTATTCTATCATGATTTTAGTTAAAATTAAGTCAAAATTTCAAAATTCAAAAACGTTTAAAAAATTTGGAACATTGATACTCTTATACAATGACTACGTTGAGAGTCAAAATTAGACAAACAACTTTTACTTCTAAATACTTCTAGATTTCTTTCTATATAACATTAAAAATTTATGTAAATTTTAGGGAAAAAAATTATAACTGTCAATACAAAGAAAAAAAAACTATTTTGAAATAAATAGCATGTAACAATTAACAGCATTTTAAGATAATATTAATGACCAAAACTAATTAAGAATTTTAAAGATAATATTAAAGACAAAAGTTGTAAAGAACTTGTCAGGTAGTCAGCAAAATAGTTTGTCTAAATAAAAAAAAAACTATTAAATTATTCAAAAATTGTTTATCACATAACTTTTTTTACCTGAACTGTATGTAGTATTTGAGCTATTTTACCTTTAAATTTTGACAAGCACCCACAGCATCCTGGTTTAGAGCACTTCCAGTACAAATGACAAAAAAATCTACCACAACACACACCTAAACATTAAAATAAAAATAATTGATGAGAAAGTCAAAAACCAGAAGATCAAGAACTTAGACTTAAAACTCTACAAATAGTTTCAATTAAAAAAACAAATATCTCATCACTAGGACACTAAGAGCCTAAGTGCATGTTTTTTGTTTTCACTGAAAATTAAATGCTTTTACTTTTCCATGAACAAACAAATTACTACTTACACCACCATGTAGTTTAATATCTGTCCATTGACATGGGTTTTCTTACAGCTGCATAAACAGCATGTTTATTTTAAGCAAAAAGTTTTTAACTGAAAACTTTTTTTATAGTTTTCATTTAAAGCTATTTTATTCAAGGTTTATCAGATAAGTTTATGGTGGTATTTTATAATTCTTCCCCCGCCCCCCCCCCCCCCCAAAAAAAAAAAAAAAAGTTTATGTTCCTTTTTTATACAGCAAAATATAATTTTTTTTTTAGATTTCTATTTGTAACTTTCAAGACCAGCTTTTTAATGAAAGTATGAACAACTAATTTAATCATAAGACACTGAATTGTTTTAAGTAATAAAAAAATACCTTTATGATGTAATATATTTTATCATTTTATACAAGTTTGACATTTTTGAAATCAACTTTTTTGAAGTTTTCATCAAATATTAATTTCATAATCAAGTTTTCAACATTTCATACATTAAGTTATGCTATAAAAAAAATAACTGTTTCCAAATTAACCAATTAAAGTTTAAAATTAACCAATTGAGTTTAAACTTTGCATTTTTTGCGCATATTTCTGCGCATATTCTGCCATATTTTGTGTGTATCTGCCATACTTTGATATATTATGTATTGTTTAGTTCAACTGCTAAATGCAATTAATTGCATTTTTTTTAAGCAACTAGTGGCGCAATCTAACAAAAAAATTTGTAAATAAACTTAATAGCAAATAGTAAAATGTTAATAAATTACAAAAAAATAAAACACTCGCTGTAGTCAACCCTGGAAACAATTTCAACATGCAGTTTCATCAAGACTACACAAACACTGAAAGTTTTAGAGCTTGCCTGAAAGGTAGTAAAAAATCAAATGCAAGAATCTGTGACAGGGGACAAACAACACATTAAAGTAAATAAAAAGCTGCAAAATATAAAACATTTAATAACATCAACATTTAGTTGACAACTTTAATTTAATTTTGATAGCTAACTTTTGTTGTTGATAATATTTTTACGTAATCAAAAAATTTTACGAAATTTGGAATGTAAAAAGTCTTTAAATTTAGTTTATTATTACTTATGCCAGCATATTTTTATAGTTTCGGAAGTCACTCTTACTTAACTTGTTTTATTTGGTAAGATAAGTGAAAAAACAACTTACATCTCCTATCAGAAAGTGGTGGAACAGCTGAGATTAATCTAAAGCAACACGAGCATATTAAATGTGTATCTCCCTCTTGACAAATGTTTCCTAGAATCACAAAGTTGAATCAACTTCAGAACTGCACAATTTATATATTTATTCAAACAAGATTAATTTAGCTAACTCTTAATAAAAAATTAGTTCTTAATAACAATTTAATTAATTCTTAACCTGTATTGGATCTCTGATAAAGATTATCAGAGTCAGTTGAGTCAGATGAGCTATATCCAACACACTCTCTGCATTTAAAAGAACTCCTGAAATAAAGGAACTTTTTTATTTTTGACAAATCAGCAAAATGGAATTGATTATTATTAAATCAGAGTTGTTTTAAATTATTCTGTTATTAATTTATTCTGCTTTAAATTATCCTTATTCTTATTACATTATTCTGTGAATAAAAAAATTTACAATAAATCTGATTTCATTGTAAAAAAAAATTGTTATCAAATCATCTTCTACTTATGTTGACTGTATTTTTGTTGTTCAATTTTAAATTAATAGAAAAAAAGTAATTACACACAAACCTTGAATAAAAGAATAAACATTTGATATATAAGATATCAAACAAAAATATAACAAGTAATAAATATTTTTAAGGAGGTGCTATGAAGTTTGTTTACCCAAGTGTGAAGCGTTTGATCAAGTGAAGTGTGAAAAATTGGATTTTTGACCACATAAAACATAACAAACAAATATATTTATAAAACTAATTGACCAAAATGCATCTAACAAATATAACAATATAAAAAAGACCTAGAGTATTAGAAAAAAAGTGTGTAATAAAGAAATAGTAGTTAGTGAGGAGTAGATATGGAATATAGTGCAGAACAAGAATTAGTATAGAAACAATAAGAGAAGCCTGAATATTATTCAAAATTATATTGTTATTATGTACTATAATACTTAGGGTGGAATGCAAGAAGCAAACTTGAGTCAAGTTCGACTTGAACTTTATTTTGTAACTAATAGCGGCAGAGTATTTTTTGAGGGGAAAACTTATACTCTGTCGCTATTGGTTATAATGTAAAGTTCAAGTCGAGCTTGACTCAAGTTTGCTTCTTGCATTCCACCCTTATACTTATTGTGATTATGTACTAGAACACTTATATTTATTGTTATTATGTACTAGAACAATTATATTTATTGTTATGTACTAGAACACTTATAATTATTGTACTAGAACACTTATATTTGTTATTATGTACAAGAATACTTATATTTATTGTTATTGTGTACTAGAACACTTATATTTATTTTTATGTACTAGAACACTCATATTTGTTGTTATTGTGTACTAGAACACTTGTATTTGTAGTAGGTGAATTGTTATTTATTGAATTATCATTTTAAAAAAACACTATGAGCTATAATTAGTAATAATAGTTTAACCCAAGTTAAACCTCTATTACAAACAAATAAACCCTGTTGAATTGACACAATCAGCAGTAACTCAACTATGATTACATTAACAAAGTACCATGCTTGTAACAGAGGTGAGCTGATTTAGAATTTGATTCCACTAATTCTTAAGGAACTATCAATTATTTTTTCAAAGAATTGTAATAATTACTGATTCTTCTAAAAATTGACACCAAACTGATGCTAACATACCTTTTCTTGTTAGTCTCCAATATTTAGCCAATAACTATTAACATTTTTAAAATGTACTAATATTTTAAAAATGTCAAACTTTCTTTGAATTCTGTTTTTGCATGTGTGTATGAATAGTAACAACAACAACAATAACAACAACAACAGGCTATTTATTTTCCGTAAATCATTTTTACAATAGTTTTGATAATAGTAATAATAACAATAATAATAGTAATAATAATAATATATTATAATAATATAAGATTAAAAAAAATTAAGACAAATTATAGTAATAGTAATAATAAGTATATTTACAATAATTACAATAAAAAAAAAATAATAATAATAATAACTAATATTAAAATGGTAGTTATAAGCATAAAACTATTTATAATACTAAGTTAATGATTTATTAGGGTGGTGTCTCTTATACAGAAATCTGATCAAATGAGTGACACCAATTTTTAAATATAATATAAGTAATAATAAGCAAAGACACACTGAAACACATGGTCCGTAAACACAGAGTCCAAAGCACATAGAACATACATCAAAACAAACATGTAGAAATCATAATATGCAGGTTTTAATAAGAATAAAAAAAAAAAAAAAAAAAAAAAGTACTGATGATAATTGTAATAATGATGAAAAGAAAATTAAAATAATATTTTAATTGTAAGGATAATAATGTCTAAAAGTTAGAATAAAATGTTTTTCAGAATTTTTTTAAATTGATATTGTTTAAGATGGAGTAAAGGTATTTTAAGATATATTTTTTCAGACTCTTTCAAATTGCATGCAAGGGTCCTGTTCCATTTACAGGCGCATTGATAAACAATAGAATGATTACCATACTTCTGGGTTTTAAAAGATGGTACATTTAGTTTTTCATTATGTACATTTCTAGTAGAGTAGGAATGTAATATTCTACTTTCTGTGAACAATTTTGTGATAGGAAATGATAAGTTTTTATTTAAGGAGTCAAAAACAAAAAGAAGATTAGCATACTTTACAAGCGCTGAAGAAGTTGGAATGAAAAGTTTTTTAAAGGAATTCGATGTATCTGATTTAATTGGTTGGAAGTTTATTAATCTAATGGATTGATGCTGAGACGATAGCAACTTGTTAATGTGATAGTTTCAAACTTGATCCCAAACTTGAAAACAATAGCTAAGATGAAATGAGAATAACGCATAGTAAATATTCTTAAGTGTAACTTTATCAACATAATGACGAACTATTGAAAACAAACCGTTAGCTTGAGACTGCTTAGTAAACCAATATGAAAATTCCATGAAAAATTGCAATCAATTAATACACCAAGATATTTAATAACTATTAAAGGATATAGCCGTTTATTATTAATTTTGATTTTAACTTCAACATTTTTGAAGAAATAGTTTTTTCTCGGAGATGAAAAAAAATAGGTTCAGTTTTTTTGATGTTGAGACATATTAGGTTAGCATTTAACTAGTGAACTATACACTTAAGATCCGAATTTACATTTTTACATAAAGAATGATACAATTTGTTGATGTGCAAGAGATTTGTATCATCAGCAAACAGGTGAACTGATGAAAAGTGAACAAAGTTGATTAGGTTGTTGACATAGATTAAAAATAAAAGAGGACCTAGAACAGAACCTTGAGGAACACCACACAAAACTGATGTATTACTAGAATTGAAACCATAAATACTTACAAATTGTTTTTGATCTGAAAGATAAGATCGAAACCAGTCATTTACATTACCACGAATTCCATAATGTTTTAATTTAGAAATCAAAATAGTTTGGTAATGGTATCAAAAGCTTTTTGCAAATCGATAAAATCACCACAAACGAAATGACCAGTATCAAGAGCTTTCCTGATTTTTTCTATTATACTTATTAATGCATGGCAAGTAGAATGTTTTGATCGAAAGCCAAATTGAAAATCATTTAAACAATTAAATGAGTTTAGAAAAGAGTACACTAGAATACATAAGTTTCTCAAGAAGCTTACTAATGTTAAAAAAATAAATATAATGACATAATGAGTAATTAATGGTAAAAGAGAAATAGGTCGATAGTTAGTGCATGAAAGTTTAGAGCCATTTTTAAATATTGGAATAACGCAAGATAATTTCAAAATATCAGGAAATGTTCCATTTATAAATAATGTTTCAAATAGTTTAGAAAGAATATTTGAAAATGCATAGCTAAAATTTATAAGAATATTTGTGGGAATGTTGTTTAGACTTAATGATTTTTTTGGATTCAATTTAGATATGAGAGATGAAATTTCAGGAATATTTGTTGGAGATAATAATAAACAATTAAATTTGGATGTTTAAGATACTTTTGATAGTTAACGTAAGACGAATGAATATTGGATTTGAGTTTATGAGCAACATTTGTAAAAAAAGTGTTAAATGATTTAAAGACTAGAGTCGGGTCAGTTATATATGTTTTGTTTTCTTGCAAACAGTTGGGAGATGATTTATTAAATCTTTTACTTTAATTAGAATGTTAATGCTTTTTCAAAGTTCGTGAAGACTTTTTACATTTTCATATGCATGTGTGCATATGTATATTTGTAAATAATTGTATATCTACGCAAATATTATTATATACTAAAGTTTCTCTTTTTTTTATGACAATTATTTTTCTTTATTGGATTTCTTTTTATTATGTTTTTTTTTAAGTTTTTCATTTCTTTAATGCCATTACTTTTTTAAACATTTTAAACTTTATCATTATTATTCATAGATGAGTATTTGACTTTAAGGAAATCCCGGGAAATATTTTTTCTAAGATAATCCCGGAAAATCCCGGTAAGTTATTTTATTAAAAAGTGATCGCAATTAACGGAATTTAGATTATTTTAAAACGGAATTTAGATTATTTAACTTTTTACAAAAAGGAATTTCTAATATTTGAAAAAGTTTAAATGAATTAAAAAGCAAAAAAAAAAAAAAATTGTTATGAAAATTTATCTCGAGAAAATTTTAATTATAGAAAACATATTTGTTTAAATGCAAAAGTTGTCGTATGTAAAATTTTATGTAAAAATATAATAAATATATTTTTTTTCAAATATCAAAAAACATCCAGAAATTTCTGGAAAAATTAAAGGTGTTTTAAGTGAATTTCCGGAATTCCGGGAATTTCCGGAAAAAACTCATCTATGATTATTCCTATTAGAATAATCGTGAAACAGGCAACATATTTTATCAGACACTCAGTGTGCACATAAAACAATTAAATAATAAACTATAACTGGTTATTACAACTAATGATAACGAGGTAATATAATAATAACCATCTGTACCAATATAACCATTTCCATTGTTTCCACTTTTAAAGTTTGCATAAGAATTATATTCATACTGTATAAATTTTAAAATATTATTTTATTTGCATTAATATTATTAGTTTAAATAAAATAATTGGAATCAGTAAAAAATCTGAAAGAATTAGAACTGCAACATATAATTTGAAAACTTGATTCTGATTAGGCACCTTTTGAAATCAGTCTCTAATATTATTAATTGAATTGACCTAATGGATACTCTAGGAAAATACACAAATAACATCAAAAACAACTTTGTAAAAACAATTATTATGCAATAATTATTAGATATTATGCAATTAATTTTGGTTCATTTTTGATTTATTGTAATGTGACAGTGTTTTTTTTTTTTTTTTTGAACTTTCTTATTTTTTTTTAATTGTAGAAATTCATGTACTATTTTTTTAAGTAATTTTTTCATTTTTATTATGAAAAATTATAACTGATATTAAAACTGATATTAAACTTAAATGAATTTTTTGTATGCACATACAAATAATGTGCACATAATAGAAATGTTATTTGTACACAAAAAATGTTTAAATACTTAAATTTTTTAAGCAACTTATATATTATCGCAGTGTTGGGGATGTATTAAGTAACTTATTTTGAGTTGCAGCTAACAGAGTTGCGGGTTCAAATTCTGCTCAGGGAGATTTTTTTTTAAATTTAATTTTTTTATTTTTAAGTAGTTTTTTGTTTTTTAACTATTATTGTTGCTTATTTATATTTATGTTTATTATTTATTTTTATTTTTCAAAATTCAAAGAATAAGTGTAAAAATAAAATGTGTACATAAAATGACTGATACAATCGTAGTTACATTGGAGTGTATATTAGGATGTCACTTAAAACAAAAAATTCACAAATAAACTTCTAGCATCAATATTCTAGTGCTAATATATATCAAAAATTAAAATTAAATAAAAAAACTAAAATTTTCTTTTGCCTACCAGTGAACTTGTTTTTTGTTTTTTTGATGATGTCAGATCATAAATTTCATAAATTAAAGAATCATATCTCAGTGAATTTCAGTCCAATTTTGATGTTAACTGTCGAACAAATGAGAATAAAATGATTGGGGTTTAAAAAATTGAGATTGTATATAGGCTGATAACACGGGGGGCCCAAGAAGTCACATGACTCCTCCTTACCCCACTTTTTTCAGGAATTTTTTTTTTTTTTAGGAACTTTTGAAAATTTTTAAACTAAGACGACCTTTTTAGAAATTAATGATTTTTTTTAATTAAATAAGTATTGTGCCCTCTCTCCTTACATTAAAAACCGCTTTATCACCCAGTATATTAACAAATAGCAAACTTTGAACAGGTATTTTTAAAGGAATATGGAAAAAAAGTCCAGCCTAGAAAAAAAATAATTAAAAAAGATAAGGAAAAAATTTCAAAGAATAAAGATCTTGTCGAGTCTTTCATATCTGATGATTCCAATAGTTTCGAATGGACAATGAACCTGCTTGAAAGGATTACTGGAAACTTAATCTCTAATTTTATCTTGAATACTACTGTAATACTGTAATAAGTAATACTGCTGAAGATTTTATATTTCGCAAGCTGCAACATCAGCAGTAGTTTCAGTTTTTCTTATTCTGAGTAGCTTTGAACTATCTAATTGGATGATTAATTTGAGGAGTACATAAATCCCTTAAAGTAATATGAGAGAATTCAACTAATTCTGTAACTTGTTCAGGGAAATAAGGAGATTTTTTAACAAATCTTGAACAATTGCTGGGTAGAATTAGTATAATAAAATATAGAATCGGGTCTATTTGTATGCTACATTGCAATGAGCTTACTTTGAGGCACATTTTTGTTAATCTGGATGGACTTGCAAGTTTAATGGTTGGCTTCACTGGACCAAATAAAAATATAATAATTGGTGTGATAAACTAATTTAATGTTTGACTAAAGGCAAGATGGCCCCAAATATTAAAAACCTTAAATATAAAAATATTTGTAATAGCAGATGACTTACTACAGAAGAAGCTTATTTTTTTCTCTATACTAGTGACCATGGCTTTTATTGATAATTTGCTAAAAAGACTTCACTTAAATTTAAAATGGGTAGCTCAAGTGTATTTTAACATAAAGTATAAAACCAAAGTAAAACACAGTATTGTTGAAGCCCCAAAAAGACTTAATAACACTTATAAGACTACTAGTGCGGTAGTGGTGTAGTGGTAGAGCGCTTGCTTCATAAACAAGTGGTTCCGAGTTCGATCCCCACCACATCCCTATTAGTACCGCGCTCAACTCGTTTCTCCGCGCAGCAGCCTTGTTCGCCAAAGTTCGTGTTTCGGAGTTATAGAGTTGAGAGAGGGTATAGCCACAAAATAAGTAGCCTCCTCGTCTGTAGTGGCCTTCTCAGCCTTAAGGAGGTGAATTAAAATTAAAAAAATAAAATACTTAGAAAACAATAGAATAAGATGAAATTGTTCTCTTTACATCAAAAATAAAGCTTATTTTTTTCATTCTAAATCTTTGATTCTTTCTCTTATAGCAAGCTCAGATAAGGAATCTAGGAGGCTTCCCATTAAGACCATCAAGGAGATATGGAATAGTTTGGAATATGGAGAAACTCAATTCAGGAAAAAGGTCAAACTCAATCTGGTAGCTATGTCCATCAAGAACTAATAGCTAAGGGACAAAGAAGATAAACCAGAAACTGTATATACTTGTCAAAAACATACTCAAGATCTTGACTATTTCTTGAAGTCACTTTTTAAAGCATCTTACTTTCCCTTACACACACAGTCTTGTGAAAGAGCAGTAAGAGAGATAACACATGCAATTGCATCTGTTTTTAGGTTTGAGAGAAGAGATGGGTTCATCAGGGCTAGGATGGCTCATAAACTATTAATGTCTAAACTTCACTTTAAAAAAGACTCAAGGAAAATTTTTTAAATGACATTTGATTATTTATACAGTAAATATGTTTCAACATAAATATGTAACTTTGCCAAACAAATAGATAACTTTATTGCCATTCGCTTTCTCTTTTTTTTTCCATGTCTGTTTAGACACAAAGAACATCAAAATTGGACAAAAATTGAAATACAAATTTTTTAAATTGTCAGTTTTAGGATCTCACATATACAAAAAAAAAAAACAAGGTACCCAGTGGGCACAAGAGGTTTTTTAGAAATTTAAAAACTGTTAATATGCTTTATTATGTTTTTAATACATTTAAAAAAAAATTATTTTTCTTGAACTTTTACTTTATATTTAAACTTTATATTTTTTTAAATACATAAATTTTATGATACGATATCTTCCCCAAAAAATCAAGTTCCCCAGTAGGTAAACACAAAAATTTCAAATTTTTTTTTTGAGTTTTAATTTTTTATATATATTGGCACTAAATACTGATGCTAAAAGTTTTTTTTTCAGGTGACATACCCTAGTGTACATATGTCTACATAAGGTGTATATAAGGTGACTTTTGTTTCAGGTGACGTACCCTAGTATACATACATCGACTGACTTAAATAGGAGTAGGTGCAATGGAGTGTACAAACATTAACTGACTTAAATAGGGATAGATGTATGGAGTTTACATACAGCAACTGAGATTTTAGGTTTAGACAGGAACTATTTTAAATAAAAGAAAAGTACTTCATAATTCAAATAGGATTTATAAATTAATTTAATTTATTTAAAAAAATTATTAAACTAAACACAAGATTTTTAGGTGAAATAGGCAAAATAATTAATAATAACTTATAATTAAATGCGCGTACTAATTAGTAAGCAACTGGTGTTGATATTTGACCGGGGCCGGGTTTGTGACCGGGGCTGCATAAAAATTTATACATACTAAATTATACTTTTTTAATTCAAAATTCATATTATATTTTGTATATATATATGCATATATAAACATCATTATGATCAACATGATCATCATAATTCCCTGACTTTTTCCTGTTTTCCCTGATTTTCCTTGATCTGACAGACACCCTGCAATAAATAAAAAGTTTTTAATGTTACCTTAAATGAAATGGTCTTGGGAAATCATTTATTGTTTGATTTCTATTGTCTTCTTCATCGTTCGAGTCACTATCAACAACTTCACATTTTATCATCTCAGTCTGTTTAAAAACAACATAGAAAAACAATGAGAAATATTTGATAAACTAAATTTTAAAAATTTAGAAAAATGACAAAAAATTTTTTTTGAAACATTTAAAAAAAGTTAAACATTATCACACCAAAACACCATTATTCAGCACATTATTCTATATACATTATATTATATAATATTACAAATGGTATCATCTACAACAAGACATATCTAAAAACACTTTTTTATTAATGCTTATATTTGGTAATTTGAATTGTTGAATTGAAACTTTAAACCTACAACTTTTGATTATTATTTTTTTTAAATTAACAAATATTTTTAATGAAGTTCCTCTCATAACAACTCAATCCCATAGCTCTAACATATGAAGCAAAATTATGTTCTTAATATTTATGTAATCACATAACAAGTGCTTCAGTTCTTTTAAGCTATTAACAGCAGTAATATGAATTTACATTTAGTTAAACTAAATGTGAATTCATATTACGGCTATAAATGCTTATGAACTTTTGAAGTTAATCACATTATATGTTTATCTAATGAAACACTAGAGAATATAATTAGTTGATGAAAACTATTTGATTATTGTTTTTTTACACGATTATTGTTGGTGGGATTCAATCTCTAGACAAAGGGAGATATAAAAACTTAAGAAGATATAAAAACTTAAGAAAATTTATAAACTTATAAGAGATATAAAATATAAACTTAAGGAGATATAAAAACTTAAGAAAATTTAAAAATTAAGGATTAAATATACTTTAAGCAAAAAACTTTTTTAACTAAAAAACAAAACACACACAAAAATAAAAAAATAAAAAATATATAAAAAAAACTTTTTAAAAACATTATTTTAAAAATTGACTAAAAAGTAAAAAATAAACTATTTCACGAGACCCAAGGACTTTGTGCACATTCAAAATATATAAAATATTCATTAAAGTCAATGACTGAAAATGTTGGGTAACTAAGTACAACTTGTTCCTATTGGCGCCCAACATCTTCAGTCATTGATTTTAATGGATATTTCTGGTTGTGAATGTACACAATTATATTGTATTTGTTTTTTTAATGTTTTAATCTGTTTTTATTAATCAATTTTATTTGTTTTATTAAATTCTTTTTTTATATTTGTTTTATTTACTGAATTATTTAGGGATTGGTGCAGTAGATGAATGTTCTTAAATAAGTAAATATTAAATAGATATTAAATATCGACTGACTTAAATAACTAAAACATACAAGGAATGAACTTAGATTAACTGACTTTAATAGGTAAAAGATGTGAAGATTGTACATACAACTTAGGGTTAGACTAGGGTTGAGTTATATATATATATATATATATATATATATATATATATATATATATATATATATATATATATATATATATATATATATATATATACATATATATAACTCAACCTTAGTCTAACCCTAAGTTGTATGTACAATCTTCATTAGAATCTTATATTAGGTTAACAATCTTCATGTACAATCT